AAAAAAAAAAAGAGAGTAAATTTGCTAAAATCTCAGTTTGTTACAGAATTAATGCTGGCCCCATATCCTTGTATTGTAATGCATTTTATGCTAAGAGCAAGTTTGGAGCATGTTGGGTTGGGAGTGGGTTTGAGACTTTAAGGGTGCTTCTCTAGACTTGTTTTATTGTGGAAATTATTTGCACTTTTTTTTTTTTTGAGTCTATTTAAATTTGGAAAATAATGCCTGTGGCTGTGGATGCTTATAGAGGTACATGTATAATGTTACATTTGCATCCACATGCCTATTCAAATTGCATGGTATGTGTATTTAAATAAAGTTTAATTGTGGATGGCATTTTCATGGTAGTTGATATCAAGTAAAATACTCCCTACATGTGGCAACATGTGGCATGATCCCAATAGTTCATGTGGACTTAGGTCATAGTTGAAAAGGACTCGATGTCACCTCAAGTACAACTAGGAGAGCTCTTGGAAAGACAATCGATTGAGTTGAGTCAAACCTTAACTCTCTTGACTTTGGAAGGAAGCACTTAAAACCTAAATAGTTGAGCTATTTAGAATGGAACCTAGGTGATGTCTGACAAACCTAAGCTACCAACCTAAGTCATAGGACTTAATGATCAAGACAAAGACATAAAGGACAAGGGGCCCACACAAGGTCAAGCTTGGCCCACACTTGGAGGTATCCCCATGCTCATGTCCGCACTTGCACAAACTGTTATCTATTCTGTAGGTGGTCCTTCTATGTTTTCTTGCCATGTAACACCTTTCCATCGATTGTCATGCCTACCACCATACCTTTCTGTAAGTAAGGTTTGACAATTGTATAGACTACACAAGTCTCTATCCTTCACATAATATACCACCTCACCACTATAAAAAGGGACTCTTGCACAGATCCCAAGATAATTTAAACTCACCCTCTTTCTTCCTTTCTTCTTCAAGCTTCTGCTCCTCCATTGTTGTCTACCTTACACCTTTACTAGAATATTGCTCATTTAAGCATTGAAATGTGAATGTTAGAGACCACCTCTGGGTCTCCAACACACACACTATTGAGCTTTCCTTTTGCCGTGCGCAGATCAAGTTTTTAGAGAAGAATCACAGCTTTCCTTACTCCTTCAACAAGTCTAGATGGTCAAAAAACCCAAATCTACCCTCGGTAGCAATTTTCCAAGTATCAGTACCAACGTAATGTTTTGCCTCCTAGGCAATTAGAATGATCAAAGTAGCTGTTTTGTGCACCAATCCTTCACCAGCACTTAGGCCTATCATGTCTTATGTAGTGGGCATGCTTGAAGGCAAAACCCATGTTCTGGAGCTGATCATGGATCCAACCATTTTCAGTGATGGATCAAGGTTCAGTGCCTTGAGAAACCAGTTCGATCAAATGCACCTCCAAAGCATAAGTGGGAGTTGCTCCTTGATTTAATAATCGGATGCAAATGCAACATGCAGCACCTCTTCAGGATCTATTTGAAAACCAGTTCTTATTCCTAGTAGTCTAGAGTTCGTATTAACTAAATCTTGCCAGAAAATCAAAGAAATGCAAATCTAGTTAGTAAACGTTGCACTTCTTCTTCTTTTAAAATAATAAAAATAAAAGTCATATTGCATTTTTTTTAATACGAGCAGAATTTCTTGTTGCATTTGTTAGTTGTTATTGATGTTTTCTTGAATTCAAATAGATTGATGCAATCATTTATGAAGTGTATGAAAGAAGGAAAAAAAAGAGGAAAAAATTTCATATTATTACTCTTTAATATTCTCCTGAATCCATAATTTTGAAATAAAGCATCCTAGTATGGGATCCAAAGTGAAGAAATGAAGAAATGAAATCAGCAGCATATTGGAATGTCCAACTTGATGCAATGAGCTAGCTGTGGGCCAATGCACAACCCCTGAATTTTGCACCACTCTCCTGTCTCTACAATCTCAGAAACCGTATGTTTTTAGGATTACTTCAGCAATTTTTTTTTTTTTTATGGTATTATCTTAACAACTACCTTGGCATACAAATGGAGTCTAAATTCTTTAATCAATTCTACTTTTTTGAACAAGTACTGATAATTCTTCTTCTTCACTTAATTGAAATGAAAACAATTGTTTTTTTTTTTTTTTTTTGGTTAAACAAGAAGAATTTTAAGAGAAATAGTAAATATTACATTGTATCTATAAAAACTTAAACTTTGATTTCAACTAATATTTTTTTATGCACATTGTTAGCCTACCTAGGACTGCTATTTTGCTGAAATGAAATGAAAACAATTTTTTTAACATATTATAATTATTTATATATTAATTAAGGGACTGAAAAAAACAAATTTGTAAGATTCAAATACACAACCCACAAGAGATAAATAATCTTAACTAGAGTTCAATATCATTAGGTCAAAGTAGGCGGTTGAAATAAAAACAATTTGATTCATTAATAATTAAAGAAAAAATAATGGTTAATTTAACTTATAAAAAATTAGAATTTAAAAATAAAAAAAATATTATACAATTCAAACTATATAATATTTATTGTTAAATAAAAACACACCTTAATTTATATATATTTAATAATTTTTATTTTATAATAAGATATCTTCAAATTTTCAAGACGTATTGACATGACCAAAATATCCTATTTTTTTGTTTTACCTAAAACATAATATAATTTATACAATAAAAGGAAAAACTATGGAAAATAAATGAAAAGCTAAAGGGATTTGACAATAAATGAAAATCTAATGTCAAATCCAACGGTTAAATCTGTCTAACAAAGTCAAAAAGAGTGTGATCAAAAGAAAGTCAGAGAACAAAAGCATCTAACTAAAGACCAGTCAATTCAGAACCACCTCTCATTCATATAATATAACCTTACACAAAAGACGCGTTTTATCTTGCAATTTAGCAGTCAACATCTTCCCTTTGGAACAAGAACGAACAATCACAGAGGAGCCAACTACTACATTGTCCAATCTAGCCTCCACCAAGACCGGCAGGAAAATACTTTCTTTTTGACGATTTTTGAGGAATTTGAATGAAAAGTTGAGAACTTGAAGAATGTTAAACCGCTTAGGATGGTTTTGTGATTGAAAGAAAGGGATCTTATGGAAAACCCAAGAACAAATACAGACAGCTTGAGCTGTTCTAGCTCGGATGCCTTGACCACCACTCTCTACAATTCAATCCAAGCTCTGGGTCGTGGGTTTGATGTCACATCTGACATAAGGCTTCTATATTGCAAGGGGGCTCCTGGGGCGAGGCTGGTTCAGCTTGATGAAGATGACGCCGTGGATCTTGTTGTCTCAGATGGAGTTGTGGTGCGAAATGTGCCCACTGATATTGAGTTCTCGAGGAGTAAGAGTACCATCGAGAGAGTGCCGGTTCGCAGTTTTCATGAGGTGAGGTGACATTTTTGTTCGTGGGTTCTTGCTTGATGGTTGTTTCTTGTAATTCGAATGGTTACTGGGCTACCCTTGAATTGGATTGTGAATAGAGTTTATGCTCTTTTATTTTTGAAAGGGGGGCTTTGTTCGTTTGATTTTGATTCTGGTTTAATAATCAGATTATCTATTCGGGGTGTTGTGTTTTTGTAAACAGCTTGTTAGGACTTGGGATCTGTGCCTTTAGTTTTTATTTGATTTGAATCTGATTCTGGGTATGTTCTAGTTCCGCGGTTCTGGTCATCTACTTTCAGTGAAATATCTCTAATATAAAAGTTCCCATGGTGCATGTTGGGATTCCCATTTGCTACTAGTTCTATGCAAATGTTCGGAATTTCTTTTATTGGACTTCTTCCTGTGAGCTATTCCTATTAGGTCGAGAGAAAAACGTGGATAGTTAGATTGTAAGTTTGTAACTTTTCTTCTGCCTTCAATGCTTAATCATAATGTTTGTTATACATTTTGGCTTTACTGAAATATTGGTTTCACTCTTTGGCATCTGTATAGCATGATTGCAAAAGTGAATAATAACATTTGTCTTGTCATCAGAGAATTGTAAAGTAACTTTATTTGTGCTCGTTAAACACATAATCAGATTGCCCTTGCTAACTGTCTAGCAGGTAAACCTAAATGTTCATAACTTTTGGGGATCTAGTTTGAATTGTTTGTCTAAGCAACTTCTTTAGTTTCTTCACAAATGTAAAGAGAGATGCTTCATCCTCCTTCCCTTGAAAAATTAATAATAATGAAAAGGATAATTGCTTCAACAGATTATCTCAAGAATTTTTGTCAATGGTTCTTGTATACAGCTTTATGATGTGAAGGAACTACCACCTACTGGTGTTGGGAGTTGATTCAAAAAAGGCATTTATCATGTTTATTAATACTTTTTTCTTCCTTTAAACCAGTTCTCCTTTTATTTTAGAGAAATCAATCTTAGAAAAAGAGCAAATTAGAATGGTTCAAACGGTCAAGAGGAATTGGCAGGGAGCCCCTAGGTTCAAAGCATGCAGTTGACTTGGAGCAAATTATGTTGATGGATGATTGTGAATGAACCGTCTGCACACAGAGCAAGATATTCATGTTTATTACTTGAATTGTAGTGCTTTTTCTTTCTCATTGGGATATAAAGAATGGAAGAAAGGGTAAAAGAGAATATTGCTGATAAGTGGGGATATTTTTCTCATCCATGTATTTGTTGATGGGTAAACTGCTTGATGAGGAACAAGAAGAAGCTATGGAAGAGTTATTTAGATTGTTTAGGATTTCTAAGTAATTATTTTTATTTGAGTGTAGTTATCTTTAATTTGAATATTCAGAAATTTGCAGCAAGAGTTTTCTCTTGAGATTGGGTGATGCAATCTTGGTTGTGTGATGTGACCAACATATTCTCTTTGGGTGTGACTCCTGGGATTTTTATCTATTAGTTTATTTTTTTGTTTTCATTTTCCTCTTTTCCATACCCAGCCATGAGCAGTGAAATAGGGTTTAAGTGGCTGTTTAGGATATGGAAAAGAGGATGGTAGAAAACAGAAAAATAAACGAAAAGATAAGAATCTTAGGAGTCACACCTAGGTTTCTTTAGGCATCACCCTAAAGAGAATAAGAACTCTTAAGCATCACACCTAAGGTTGGTCGCTTCACACAAACGATGTTGCATTGCATCATACAGTCTCAAGAGAAAACTCTTGTTGCAAACTTTTGAATATTCAATTTACTTCTCTAATGAAAGAAGCTACATGAATATTTATATAGAAACTACTAAGACTCCTACTAGAAGTCCAATCCTAATTAGAACCATAACTTGAAATTTAAAATTAAGTCAAGTAGGACTTTTACTATTGATAAACAAAAATGGTAAAAGACTTCTAAGACTCTTCATAAAAGACCCAATCCTAAAGGTAGGAAAACTAATGATCAGTACACTCAAGTACAAATAATTACTTAGAAATCATAAATAATCTAAATAACAACTCTTCCATAGCTTTTTCTTGTTCCTCATCACTGCTAGTGCTATAATCAGAGCACTGTTGAAGCTTGTCTTCCATCTTGTCTAACTTTGAGAGCCATGTCATGCTCGATTACCTTAGACCATACTTCTGTTTTGATAATTTGAGTGCATTCCTATTGAATCTTGGTGATCTCCCCAGCTCCAAGTCTCCAGGTTGCAATAAAAGTCTAAGAAGCCAGAAGTACTGTTTGGTTTATGAGAATAAAGATAAAAATGAAGAAATTGAACTCTTTTAACTACTTGGCTGAAGACTGGTTACAGGGTCTTTCTGTTTAATGTTTCCTTTATGCCATACTTACATGAATGGAGTGTGTTACATTATTGATCATAAATTGTCTTTCTCAATTCCAGCAATTCTTCTTAAAATAGACAACCATATATTTACTCTTAACGCAACCTATCTGAAGTCCAGTCTACTAGTAACATTCATTTTTTCTGTTATCTTCTCTAGTTCAAGGTTTGAGCCTTAGTTTTTAAATATCTTTGGAGATCATTCTGTTGCATTTTATGTATTTAACAGTGTTACCATGTTCACTAGTACTGCTTGTAGGCATTAACAATTGGGTACATGCAGGTGCTGACTATGTCTAGGATTTTGCTTCTCAGTTTGTTAATTCACTACAGAGCACCCATAATTTTTCATTTGTAATTTTTTCAATGCTTGACATTTCAGATGGCAGAATATTTTAATGAGAAATCTGATATATCAGGGCGTATTCCACTTGGAAGCTTCAATTCCATGTTCAATTTCACTGGCTCTTGGCAAGTTGATGCAGCAGCTACAAAATCCCTTGCAATGGTTGGATATTTCATGCCACTATATAAGGTCAAGTTAGCAAAGCTGAATTTAGTTCTGCATGAGGAGATCAAGCGTGCTGTTCCTTACACTTGGGATCCTGCATCTTTGGCTAGGTATTTGACATTGAACCATTCTTCAATAGTAGACATGTGTTCTTCCTAAAACTCTCCAGTTTCTTTAAAAGTCTTTTTAGTATCTATTAACATATCAGTAAGATTTTCCAACGCTGATAGATTATGAAAATCTTTTAATGTAAGTCTAATTCCACACAGTGGGGAGGACATCCAACAGTAATCTTACTGTCTTTAATGAAATTCAACTGTTTATCTCACTGGTGTTGGTGATCTTAGTGGTGCAAAGTCAAAGAGTGGATAGTTGACCTTCATTGATTTGCACAGCTCTTAGAAACAAGAGGAGCTTAATATGGGTCCTATGAGCTCTTTTTGTACTTCTATTCATTTAATTACCAATTATTATGCAAATTATGGACAAAATTCCCCAATTTCACTGTGTAGTAAAGCTTACACTTATTCTTGATATGTGGCTGATAGGATCCATAGATCAAGTAATTGCTGGACAGCTTCAAGTATCTGATTTAGTTTTCTGTTTTGTTTTCAGTTTCATTGAAAATTATGGTACACATGTTGTTACTTCTGCGACAGTTGGTGGAAGAGATGTTGTTTATTTTAGACAGCACCAATCATCTCCTTTGTCAGTAACTGACATTGAGGACTATGTCAAAGATATTGGAGAACAGAGATTTATGGACTTTGCTGGGCCCTTAAAATATAAGGATAAGGTTAGTGTCATGGAATTGCTCATTCGGAAAAGATTTTAGATTAAGTACAAGCTCAGTAAAATATTGATTCATTTTAGCTGGTGCCAGTAAGACTAGTTGGACGATAGGTCTGGATACTTGTGTTCTACCAAAAAAAAAAAAAAAATCATTTTATTTGCTCCTACAAAGTCTTAATTTACCTTAAAAATATTTCAAACTTCGAGTTTGTTACATATTCCTTCTTTTTGATGTGCTTCTAGCAAAATTTTCCTTTCTGATGCACTTGTTTCCTTGAATGGATTTTATCTGCTTGAGTGTGAGAAAATCAATAGCTAAAGAAAGTTCTTGCTGTAGGATGTTACAGTCATTTTTAGGAGGAGAGGAGGTGATGACCTTGAGCAGAGTCATGCCAGATGGGCAGAGACTGTACAGTTTGCACCAGATGTGATTAATATGACTTTTACACCCATTGTTTCTCTTCTTGAAGGAGTGCCCAGTATAAAGCATTTAGCTCGAGCAATTGAACTGTACTTGGAAAGTAAGTTTTCTCTAATAATTACATTCTTTTTCAGTTCAAATTCTGAATTTGATATCCACTTGCAATGCATTCATGATTCGTAATGGGTTCTGTTAGAACTTTTCTTTGATTCTTAATTTGCTGCACTTTTTGGGAGAGGAAGGTGCATCTAGAATCTGCTCAAAAAAATCCTCACGTGATAAGTTGTCCATCTTTTTACAATAAACAGATAAGAATGTTTAATTAAAGAGCTTATGCCCTACCTTCTGTAACTCAATTTTGATATGATCTATTAGATTAAAAGGAAAATATATTTCCTCAAGCATTCCAGTAATCAACTCCAGCAAAACTAAGAAGGCAATGAGAAGGCTTCTGCTTCCATTGGTGCTGCCAGACCAGAGTCAGTTATGTATAAACAATTGATGGCTGTAAAATAATATTTAAAAAAAAAATCCAATTAAGCCTGAAGAGCTTCTAGAAATTAAAATTCATGTCAAGATTATTGCAAGCATTGCTGAGAAGTTTAGTTTACATTATTCTCCAAAGTAATCGGGGAAACTCAATTATCTCCTTTATGATAATGCATTACTTTGAATAATTTCAAATTTAGGCATTGTGGTCTGGAAGCTTCTTATAATCCAAGTTTTATCATGCTTTGTAGTTCTCAGTTGTTAAAGAAGCTCAAACTTTGGTTGATGGTTGCATTAACAGAATAGCTTCTTTGTAGCCTTTATTCTTTCAAGGAAGAATCTTGGTTATATTGTTAAAGGTGCAATAAGGAAAATGATGTTTCAGCATTGATGTTAAAGACATTTTTTTTCCCTTCACATACTAATTATTTCATTGCTTTTATTTAACCAGATAAGCCACCAATTGAGGATTTACAACATTTTTTGGATTTCCAAATTTCTCGAGTATGGGCACCAGAACAAGGTAAACTTCAAAGGAAGGAGCCTGTATGTCCATCCCTTCAGTTCAGCTTGATGGGTCCCAAGCTGTATGTTAGCCCAGATCAGGTAATCTTTTATTTATTTATGCAAAGGCACGAAGTTGTATTAATGTTTTGGATCTATGTTAGTGGATTTTGTTATAAAAAAACTGTCTAGTGACTCTAGCCAGATACTTGAATAGCAGTAAACAAGGCACAAGTTCTTGCTGCCCTCTTGACAAGTGAAATGCATAAAGAGAATCCTATATACTTATATTTAGTTTGCCTTAACCAAGCTCGCACTGATATAAGAGTACACGACATTTCCCCTTTATCTAAGTCAGCATCCCATGATATTGTAGGTCACAGTAGGCCGTAAGCCAGTCACGGGTCTTAGACTTGGCTTAGAGGGAAGCAAGCAGAACAGACTTACAATTCATTTGCAGCATCTAGTGTCTCTTCCCAAAATCCTACAGCCCCATTGGGACATACACATGGCCATAGGTGCACCCAAGTGGCAAGGTCCCGAGGAGCAAGACAGCCGATGGTTTGAGCCCATCAAGTGGAAGAACTTTTCCCATGTAAGCACAGCCCCCATAGAGCACACTGACACTTGCATCGGAGACCTTTCTGGTGTACACATTGTCACAGGGGCTCAGCTTGGGGTTTGGGATTTTGGTTCCAAAAATGTATTACATCTCAAACTCCTCTTCTCCAAAGCACCGGGATGTACAATAAGGCGGTCAGTATGGGATCATACTCCATCCAACCTAACCACTGCACATAATTCAGATGGTTCATCTTCATCAACTTCGAACGAGAGATCTGATGACAAGAAGGAAGACAGTTCAAGCCACATTGGAAAACTGGCAAAAATTTTAGACTTGACTGAAATGTCGAAGGGACCTCAGGATAGTCCAGGGCATTGGCTGGTTACGGGGGCTAAGCTTGGCGTGGACAAGGGGAAGATAGTATTGCGGATAAAGTACTCTTTACTAAATTATTGATTCATTATATCTGTTTTGGTAGGATAACCCTCTCTTTTTCCACTTGTAAGCATGATCAAGCATTTTTGCACAGGTGATCAGAGTTCTTTCTTCTGTACATTGCCCTCTTTTATTGTCGTTAATTATTCCTCACAGGTATGATCGTCAATTTGTTTGTTATTATTTGTCTTCATTTCTTGAATCCAGTTTCGGTTTTGATTATTAGCAAAAAAACGTCTTGTTGTATAATAAGTAAAATATTTATTTTTCAAGAAGAATTTTAATAGTTAAGAACTTAAACTTTAAAATTAAAAATTTTAAATTTAAATTTTAAAGTAAGATAAAAATCAAATAAACTAAATAAATTGTTAAGAAGTTAGACAAAAGATTCGGAAATTATTATTAAAAAAACAAGTTTTAATATTATTGAGAAAATTACTTTACCTCGTCAGCATCAACCGTCAGTCGTCTCCCAAGTGTCCTTCACTCTCATCCACCTGTTCGCCGCCTCCGCCATGCACGTATACGTGGTGGCCTTAATCTCTGCCACGTTCTCCTCTCCAGTCATTAAAAGCCCTGAGCTGCCAAAAAGCTCAAGAAAACAAGGAAATGATTTTAGGATAATTTTTTTTATTACTTCGACCACTGTTCGCGATGGCGCATGGCCGACGCCAGGGTGTCCGATGACAATGAGGCAGCGCGTGATCGATAAGGGAGCACAGATGTTGCAGTCTCTGAAACCAGTGAAGCAGATAAGCCAGCACGTCTGCACCTTCGCCCTCTACAACCACGACATGAGCCGCCAGATCGAGACTCACCATTACGTTTTCCGACTCAATCAGGACTTCTTCCAGTGCGCCGTTTACGATTCCGATGACCCCAACGCCCGTCTCATCGGTCAGCATCGCCCCCTCAGTTTTGAATTAATTTATCCCTTTAATCAAATCAAAACGGAAATTTGAAAAATCTTAGAATTATTTTCAGGAATTGAGTACATAATTTCGGATCGATTGTACGAAGATCTGCCAATGGAGGAACAAAAACTTTGGCATTCCCATGCTTATGAGGCTAAATTGAATTAAATTCTCAATTTCAAAGGGTTAATTGTTTATCTTACAAATTGTTGGATCGTGCAGATCAAACCAGGACTTTCAGTAAACCCTCGAATTCCGAAGATGGTGGGGAAGCCGGAGCTGGAAAATCTGGCGAAGACGTACGGGAAGTTCTGGTGCACGTGGCAGACGGACAGAGGCCATAAGCTTCCACTGGGAGCGCCGGCGTTGATGATGTCGCCACAGGGGGCGAATTTGGGGAAAATCGACCCGGAACTGGTGCAAAAGAGGGATGACAAGTACAAAATTTCAACGGATGCACTGAAGGAGTCGAGGGTGGAGATCGCGGAACCGGAGTGGATCAATCCGCAGGCTGATTACTGGAAACCGCATGGCAAGGGTTTTGCTATTGATATTAAGCAGACTGAAATGAAAAAGCAGACACCATTCCCATGAATGCGTGCTTCTTGGGGTTGGGGTTCTAGTCAGTGTTAATTATAATGCTCATGATAAGTTGAACTCTTGTATGAAGAAACATATGTAGGTTACAAGGGGTCCATCACCTTACATGTCCACTGGTATGGTTTCAGTGGTGTAGTAGCTTCTGTAGGTTTGAAAACTGGTATGGACTTTTATTTTTTCTACCTAGTTTTTTTTTTTTTTTTTTTTTTTGAACATGGGGGAATTTGGGGGAGGGGATTTTTTTTTCAAGTAATTGGTAGGATCAAATTTTTTATCAACTACATCCAAGTACTTAAAGATTGAAACGAATTCTTGCATCTAAAGGCTTGATTCTTTTTATCTAATTTAATAAATGTTTCACAAAAATAAGCTAAAATATTTGAAAAAGTACTTAACATCTTAAATTGTTTTACCTATAAAATACTCCCCAAGCTTGTGACGTTGAGTCTTTTCAAGTATTTTTATTTTATTTTATTTTATAATTTGGATCATAAAATAATACATTTTATGATATTATGTGATTGAGTTTTTCATTTAATTATACTGGATCTTAAATTAGAAATCATGGGATAGAGATCGCCCTAATATATTCGTCCAACTCATTATTAGGCTACAAGTTTACATGACCATGCTAATTGGCTTTTTTAACCAGGCTCATGTTGCTAAAGGGCTTATTTGTTACAAGAAAAGTTCAGGAACTTTACTATCAATTAAGGTAAAATTCAGGAGGTTAACACGTGTTTTTAGATTTATTAGAATCAACCATCGTGCCCAAGAATGTAGAAGCTGCTGGGCCTAGCCCTTTTCGGCAACATGGGCATGGCGTTGGTATCCAATACAACGGTATATTCTGATTCCAGGTGCCATCTTCTTTGTTCCACTTCCCAGGTTGCCACTGTAAACCCCAACCCATCATTTTGCAGAAAAACCACTAAAAGATTCCAGTCCTTCCGTTCCTCTCCTTTCACCCTCATGGAAACCCACGAAACCACCGTTGAGAAATATGTCTATTCGGTCTGGGCACTCCCGCCGGAAGATGTGGCGTCCAGGCTGAAGAAGTTGATGGTGGGTCTGAGATCGGAGTTCGGCGGGCCCGAGTTCGAGCCTCACATCACGGTTGTTGGTGCCATCAATTTGACGCCGGATGATGCGTTGGCCAAGTGCAGATCAGCTTGCCAGGGGCTCAAAGCCTACAATGCCACCGTCGAACGTGTTGCTACCGGAACTTTCTTTTATCAATGCGTGTTCTTGCTGCTCCAGCCCACGCCTGAGGTAATGGAATTCTGCCATTAATCCGTCTATTGATTTTTTTTGTTTTTTTTTGGGGGATAAAATGTAGAATCTTTATTTATCCAGTAACTATAATGTACATGAGCAGCAATTTGCTGCTACAGCCAATCAAATAAAAACTCATTAAAACTCTACTGTACTCAATTCTTTACAACAGCCTCAATTCGCCATCTTTTTGCAATTTCCATGGACAAAGGGGAAGTTTTAGGCTTAGCAAAGCCTAAAATTTTATTCCTGACATCAAATTCAATATTGGGCCTAAAATTTTAGGCTGTCCATTTCTTTTGCCTGGCTCTTGTAGTCAATTTGTCAAGTATTGCCAACCAACTAATGAAGCTGTGTTTACGGATTGATTGTGAGAACCAAACCAGTCTATGCCATGGGACATTGTTCTATCTTTCTCTTAGCCAATGCCATGCACCTCCTGTATTGAAAGTGCCTGAGCTAGACTTTAACCAGATTACAGAATCCCTTACCCCTTCTTTTGCATAGAGCTTATCAAAAAGAGCCATTTCCAACACTATCACCATATACATCTAAATTCCAGTTGGGATCAAGCTAAAGGCCAATTCCAGTTGTTTCCTTGCACAGCAGCTGATACCTTTGCATTGTATGGCAATCCTAAATTCTTCACAACACTATCACCATATACATCTATTAAGGGACCTGAAGGGTGCCAATGATCTAACCAACGAAAGATATCCTCCCCATCACCAAGTGAATCCATCTATTGATTTTGTTCTTAATTGTTTGCTTAATCAGTACTTCGAATTGGAAGTGGGTTGGAATTGGGCCGCACATGAAATTGGCTGGAATTAGATTTTTCCATGGATTAATTGCGGTAACAATTCAATTTATGTTTGGGGAAGTCGAGTACTGAAGAATTTTCTTGTTTTAGGTATGTCGAGTACTGAAGAATTTTCTTGTTTTAGGTAATGGATGCCAGTGACCGCTGTTGTGGACATTTGGGTTATGTACGCTCCACGCATAAGTTCTGTATCTTGTTTCATTCCTGCAAACTTTCTTCATTTTTTTTGTGCTGGGTTATATATCTGCTACCCGATGGTAGAAAATCACAATGCATGAATTTGATTCAGCATTCAGGATGCTGCTGAGAGGGGCATCTTAGTAGCTTCATAGATATCCTGTTTTAGAGGCTTGCTTATTTCAAATTTCTGGATATTGGTTTTGTTATCTTGTGTGGATTAGGTGTTTTAACCTCTGATAAAATTTGAATATCTTGGGAGGGAAGATAGTTGGTCAAATTTTATATATTCAGGCCCCCCAAAATCAATTTAACTATTGTGCTTTAGTGAAGAAATTTTAGGCAGAGTTCGTATTGAATTGACAAGAGACAGTGGGGATTCAGGGGAGCTAGAAATGGTGATTTGTAGTGCATTTGTTTCCTGGAAAACTAACAATTAAAAGTTATTAGGGTTCTCTTCTGAGAAAGAAACATCCAGATTACAAGATGTTATCTCTAATAGATAATTAGTCATCAAGATTTTATTAGGTAATTGAGCTCCAAATATAATTAAAACTAAGAAGCAATTAGTTAAGGGAACTTTTTGAGTTGCCTGGGTGGACTGGAATTGGATGGCTTTAAATGTTCCTGGTTCTGGTGTTTGGTTTTCTTTATTTCTTGACCATGTACGTTGGGAGGGGTGTCAAATGTCAATCTTCTGGTGGTTGTTTTAATAAAGACCAATTGCCGTGTTGAACCTGCAGTGTTAATTTCAAATGGTTTCAAAATGCTTGGAGCCAATTGTATCTTTGCCTTGAACTTGCAAACAGGTCACTTACTTGCATGATGTTGCAACGACACCTAAATTACCAGCTTAATTAAATGACTGCTGTTGGTAATGGTTGTTTGTTTCTAATGTGGTGATAGTTTTACTCATGGTTTTGACACCAAACTAATCTAAATTCCTTTTTTTTTCGATCAGCCAAATCACTAATCTAAATTCATAGTGTTTGCCCCTGAAAAACTTTGGGGAAACTTTAGACTTGCCTTTCCTTCATGGTTCTCAACTTCTCATTGTTTCATTGCATGGTACTCACTATTTTGTCATATTCTCTTGTAGCATACATGCCACACTTGAGCCTTCTTTATGGTGACCTTACGGATGAAGAGAAGAAGAAAGCTCAAGAAAAAGCCAACATTCTAGATGAGAGTGTTTACACCTTGAGCTTCCAGATAAGTCGTCTTGCACTGTATAAAACAGATACTGAGGACAAGACTTGCAAATCCTGGGCGAAGGTTGCTGAATACAACCTCAGCCCCAATTAGTTCCTCCTCCTCCTGAGTTCTCTCTAACTTTCATCAACGCAAATAACCGTGGACTGGCCATGTGAATCTCCTTCCTTATGATGCACATAACTTGTTATAATAACAATACTTAACCGTGTTATCAATTGCTTCTGGCTTGGCAATTTGGTTGGTCAATAACCTGTGACTTACAACGTACCACTTGTTTTGGTTTTTAATGCCTGGATGTTGAATTGGATAATATTGAGTTGTAGGGTTCAGTCTGAATAGTACAGCCTGACCCAGCTGGTTCTGCCGACCATAACCTTTGCTTATCTAAGAAGCTCGTCCTTTTAACAAGTCAAAGTCAGCCCCGTTTTTCTGGATAATTATCAACTCAACCATTTCTCAGTCAAAAATCCCATCCATATTTCACGCTTCTGCCATTTCATTTCTGCCCCCATTTTCAACATATGATGGTTCATGGTATTGATTGGATAAAATTCTTATCCTCTGTTATTGTATTTGTTTTTTTTTTTATTGAACTTTTTTTGACATGAGATGGGTTTGAAACCCGCCCAGAGAAGAAAAAATGCACTTTTTAATGACTAGTGCTATTAGTTTCTAAGGCCAAGTAACTGTTATTGTATTTGTTTTGATATCTGTTTCTTTATATTTTCATTTTCATCTTTTCTTGAGCTTATCGGGTAAACTTCCGCAGCCTGATTATGTCACTTATGTACATACATTCTTTCCCACAAAAACAATGACGTTTTTTAGGCCGACTAAAGTAAATATTTATATTCACAAGAACAGTTAAATATAATAATAATAAAGGAAACATCAACAGAAGTAAACTCTGATAAATTTTATTTATATGGTTTTTTAAACCTATGTTCGATTAAAATATAATAAGTGCAATTTTTAATTATAAATTTATATTAAAAAATAAAAATTAATTTTTAATTTATTAAATATTTAATTAAATTTATCTATATAGCATCAATATTAAAATTAATATTAATTTTAGTATTAGTACTAAATAAATAAATTTAATTAAATAATTAATAAACTAAAATTTAATTTAATTTTTTAATATAAATTTATAATAAAAAAATATATTTATTACTTAAATTAGTCATACGTAAATTAGTAGACAAGACAAGCGGCCGTTAATATTAATAAGCTTTCTTCCCTTCTAATTCTACTAATTAATGTTTTACGGTTAGAACCTATAACGCAATTAGTAATTAACAAATGGTTTTTCTACAGTAATTAATTGGAGTAATTAAAATACTCAACGGTGGTATGCAAGCAGGCGCGGGCGAATACAGACCGTCCTGTCACGTTAGTTCCCTCCAATTTTTGTCGGACACGTTGGCCGCCCTCCTATTTTTGTCAGCTACAGTCACGTGACAACCGTCGTAAATTATTGCCGAAAACGACTTCGTTACTTGCCGCGTTCCTGACGCTAAGACAATTTATTTTTGGTTAAAGTCAACTGTAGTTCTTGTACTTTGGGAAAAAATTCATTACCGTCCCTCTACTAAGGAAATATTCAATGTCATCCCTCTACTTTCCTTACAGCATATTTGTCATCCTTCTATTACACTTTTTTGGTTCAATGTCACCCTTAATTGGATGTTATCCACATTTCCATTAATTTTGACAGTTAATTACGCGACAATCAAACGTTTATCTATTGTTTATTAATTTTTTTTACCCAATAGGACCAATGGAACCAATTCTTTTTTTTTTTTTTACTAGTTTTGTGTTATTCTTTTTGGTTTCAGCTTCTAAACTAATAGAATCTATTAACTCTTTGTTAAAATGTGAATAAAATAATTATAAAATCAATTCTAAAATATTAAAAATGTAACAATTTAGTTTTAAAAGTTTAAAAATTAAAAAAAATAATAAACTAAAAAGAATTAAGATATGACTTTTTCACGTACATTAGAATAATATTAGATATTTATAATTAAATCAGTGATTAACTCAATTTGAAAAAAAAAATTCTAACTAAGATTAAAGAAAATTTTTAATTGAATTAAAATAGAAAATTCAAGAAACTAGAAAAATATAACCAATAAATTTTCTTTAATCTTATTTAAATTTATTTCTTTAAATTGAGTTAATCACTCGATAATTGTAAATATCTAATATTATTCTTATGTATATAACATAGTTATTCACTAATTATTTTTAATTTATAATTTTTTTTATTTTTAACTTTTAAAATTAAATTATTATATTTTTAATCTTTGAAAACTAATCCTATAAATGTTTTATTTACACTTTAATGAAAAGTTAACGAACTTCATTAGTGAATAAAAAATTAATAAACAAAAGTTAATTGTTTAATTGTTAGGCAATTAACACTCAAAATTAATGAAAATGTGGACGGTGTCCAATTAAAGGTGATATTAAGCAAAAAAAGTGTTATAGAAGGATGACATTTATGTGGTAAGGAAAGTGGAGGGATGACATTGAATATTTCCTTAGTAGAGGGTTGGTAATGAATATTTTTACAAAAATATAAGGACTATAATTAGGTTTAACCTTTTTTAGTAAAAGTCATATGAAATATGAATAATTTAGAATCGAACTGTTTGATTCCTCATAAAAAGAAAAGTTGTTTCGATAGTTATTTTTTTATTTATAAAATTTAAATTTAATATTTTATTTAAAAAAAAAAAAAACTAAAATTTTTTATTCAAATTAATAGATTTCGTTAATCCCACGCGAAGATAATAAATCTATTATTATACATTTATATTGTCATCCAATCACATCGACAAACTGGCTGCGGTCCTTCCCACCACCTCACCAAAGGAGATCTGATCGCACCGAATCTTCGCCAAAAAGTTTAAAACGACGACGTTTTCCTCGCACCTTGCAACCACGTCGTAGTCAACCACCTCCTGCCCAGCCGAAGTCCACCTAATTTCCGACGCGTATACCGGACACCTTTCCTCTCACTATTTAAAAGGAAGAACAATATCCTCAGCATTTAACGGAAACTTCTACACCGGGTGGTCAACATTTGCGGAATTTGTCAGAGGTTTAGGTTGTTGCTTAATTCCTTTGGTTTTTCTTTGATTTGGAGAAAAAGAAAAATGGAAAGTAAAGCGGCTGTGAGGTTCACGTTAGGGAAGCAATCGTCGCTGGCGCCGGACAGGATCCTGGAGGAGCTGGACGGAATGAAGGAGGAGGAGGGAGAGAGTGAGGAAATAGGCAGAGGAGTGAGGTTGATGTACTTGGCCAATGAAGGCGACCTCGATGGTATACGTGAGCTCTTGGATTCCGGAATCGATGTCAATTGTCGCGACATCGATGATCGGACTGCCCTCCACGTCGCCGCCTGTCAGGGCCTCACTGACGTCGTTTCCCTCCTCCTGGAGCGAGGCGCATTTGTGGACTCCAAAGATCGCTGGGGAAGCACTGTAAGAGCTCTACTTCTCCCCGTCCTGAATTCTTGGGCTGCTACTATTCTGAGCTGCTTTTACTATCCTGATGTTGTTTAAACAGCCTCTTGCAGATGCTATATACTACAAAAACCAGGATGTTATCAAGCTTTTGGAGAAACATGGCGCCAAGCCTCCGGTATGTCTCAGATTTAGATGGCTTATGCAGTTTTGAATTGCAATAATGTGCTTACTGATCTTGGTTTGAATGTGGAATGATCTTTTATAAACGTGCTAGATGGCTCCAATGCACGTAAATCACGCTCGAGAAGTCCCAGAATACGAGATCAATCCAAAAGAACTTGATTTTACGAATAGTGTTGAAATAGCTAAGGTAATTCATTGTCGATTCCTCTTGTATTTAATTCTTTTAAATACTATTCTGCAACTGGTGTGCTGCATCATAATGCTGACTTTTTCATAGATATTGGATGGTGGGTAATGATTTGTTAAGTCTTACAGGTTGTGTTATTAGTTCTGGCTACCATAGTTCTAAATTTAATAACCTTCCAAAAAATGCTATTGCATTCTGACTGCATCTAGCGTGTGCATTGTACGGTTCATTTGTTTTAATAGTCCATGAGAGAGGTATTGACACTGACATAGAGGCCCATTTAATTATGTTAGGACTTAGGGGTGCTGAAATTTTCTCAATTACTAATAAATAAAGATGGAAAGATTATTCTGCCTTCTTCCCCGTTTAAAGAGCTTTTGCTTTGATTTTCTTGCTTAAAATAAGTGTGATTAAAACATGTAGATAATATTGTTGAAGGCAGTTTGATTAGTAAAGTGTGCAAATGAGGTTGGTGTAAGCATTACAGTAGCTGAATTTAGAGAGCTAATGACAACTGGGATTGATTTATGAATGTCTGGAGGTTGGTTATGGCTGGCAAGATGTGAGAATTAGGGTTTTGGAGAAATGGATGTCCCAGTTTGTTGTGCTAAGTATTAAAAAGAACAATGTAATATCAAAATCTCATTTGAGTCAAGAGGTGAAGTTTTTATCAAAAGCCAAAAAGATGGTTGGCGAGATTCAGGTTCTATTTCCACAATGTTGTAGTTGTCTAATAAGGAAATTCAAAAATTCCCTAGCTGATACAGGATTAGTTCACTTCATGTTGCCATTTTGAAGAAGATGAGCATGACTGGCAGGATGAGTTAATGTTATGATGGACTACTGTAAATTTCATTTGGAACTTGAACTGATCTTTCCATCATTCTAGCAACTTTTAAGGACCAGCAGTGCCTGCCATTTTTAATTTGATTTATGCAGCTGTTCTAGTCTAGTTTTCTCTAAGCTGTTCTAAGTCAACCCTCTAATGTTATTCACAGGGAACATTCCGTATAGCATCGTGGCGTGGAATTGAAGTTGCTGTGAAAACCCTTGGAGACGAAGTGATTAGCGATGAAGATAAAGTGTTAGTCATACACATGTTTTCCCTTTTCTTTTTGATTGGCAGTGTGGGTGGGGTTGACATATATTCTTCCTCTGATATTATGATTTATAAAATTATTTGGTCTTTTGCAGGAGGGCATTCCGGGATGAACTTGCTTTGCTTCAGAAGATACGACATCCAAATGTAGTTCAATTCCTTGGTGCAGTAACTCAAAGTAGTCCTATGATGATTGTGACTGAATTTTTACCCAAGGTTTGCCTCCATCATCTTATTTTCTGACATGGAAGAACATCAATAACATACATCTGAGGATTGTTGCTCTTTGTTGAATCTTTGGTGGAGCTTGCTTTATGTTGATTCTTTGATGATGCTTCTTCATGGTTGTTTATCATCTTAAAGAGCCTTTTTTTTAGTGATCTCATATTTTTCTGCTCTTTTGAATTATCCCATAATGTTTAAGTTATAAGATGCCTCATTATAATTTGGTTGTGATGCATTTAATTCCATAAGTTCTCACTTCAATGTGGTTTTCCTTCATTTGATTTTTCTTGTTGATAGGAATCACTGATAAACCTTAGTGAAATATCTGCATTGTTGTGGACATGCACTAAAATTATAGTTTGATAGCTCTTGTTTGTGATAAACAATGCCTTCTCTTGACTATATTTGTTTTTGAATCCTTTGCTGCCTTTTTTCCTCTTTTCTTTTTATTAGCCTTACCAGTTTATTAAGTTCCAGCAATGTGTGTGTTAGTGTCATCTGTGATGTTATCCAATATCAATGTATTTTGGATCTGTTAAGGCCTCTTAGTTAGGCCTTTCTGCTTATTAACAATTATTTTAGGTTAGAAGCCTTAAGAGTTAGCATTTTTTTCTTTTCATTTTTTATGGAAAGTAAAATTGTATTTGACTAATACAATCCTTTTGTCTTCAAGTATATCTTCAACTAACTAGGTCAAACCTGAATTGACTGTTGCTATTAATTGCAGGGCGATCTACTTGCATACTTGAAAAGAAAAGGAGCATTGAAACCAATAACAGCTGTGAGGTTTGCGCTTGATATTGCAAGGTCTGTCACCATTTTGATGTTCTTTGATTGATCTCTAGATTTATAAGAATAACAAATGGTTGTCTTCTTTTGTTAAAATGAAATAACACAACAATTAAAGCACATCTAATGCTGCCTGGTGGATAGCCTTTCAGAATGAATGTTAAATATCATTAATATGCCATAAATTTTGCAGAGGAATGAATTATTTGCATGAGAATAAACCAGCGCCAATAATTCATCGTGATCTTGAGCCTTCGTAAGTTTTTTTGTTTGATTAGGAACTTTATTTTACCTCAATTGTTGTCTACAGTTATTTGCCAAGACTAGCTTAGGTCTTCTCTAGAAGATCTATTTGCTGTCTTTGATTTCTGATATTGTCAGCTCCTTTCTCATGTGCTTATAACAGAAACATTTTGCGGGGTGATTCAGGATGTCTTAAAGTTGCAGATTTTGGGGTTAGCAAGCTTCTCACTGTTAAAGAAAACAGGCCTCTAACTTGTCAGGTTACATCTTGTGCGTACTTCCTCTAATCTCGAGTTATAGTTTATTATCCCCTTTCCTTTTGATATGGATTGTTTACTTGTCAAATTTTCAGTCTCCTCATATGTGGGCACTTAGTCATGCATTTTAATGAAATTTTATCTCTAAAAGCTGAAATATATTTATTGTCATTGACATAGACCAATATGTGGCACCAGAGGTCTTCAAAAATGAAGACTATGATACAAAAGTGGACGTGTTTTCATTTGCTCTAATTCTTCAAGAGGTAAATCCTTCTCAGCCATCATGACTTTTGTTATGAGAATGCTTGATGCTTTTATTTTATGTGCAACTAACTTCTAAGATGGGTATTTTTGACAATGGGGATGCCAATTTGTCATTGTCTATTTTAAACCTCCTTTTTTTTTTTTTTTTCTTTTTTTTCTTTTATCAGTTTCCATGCTGCCTACTTTATATGAATAAAATTGGATGATTGGAAAAAGGAATTTTTGGCCAAAAAAATGATGAAAAGAAGAAATAGGATTTCACATGATGCTTTTTTTTCTGAACACCAGCTCTTTTGAAAGTTATTTAACCATGTCTGATATCTGTTGCAATTAGTTATTTTCACATTTCATGGTTCCTGACTTGAATGGCAGAACTAAATCTCTTAGCCAAGTAATATGTTTATGCACTTTGTGGTTCCCATCTGATGTTGCAACTTGCAAGGCAGATATTAGTAAAAACAAGGAATGTAGAAATGATTTTGGAGGATAAATAATGAGTTAAAAGCATGGGAGATTCAAACAAATCTTGGTGATATAACTTCTATCTAAGAAAAATGCAATTATGTTGTTTGTGTTCTAGTGTTTGGTGTTGTTGAGTTTCCTTCAGATCTCTGGTTGCACCTAAACTAAGAAGTTCCTTTGACAATATATTTTTCCTAGCATATGGTGTTGTTGAGTTTCCTTCATATCTGTGGTTGCACCTAAACTTTGAAGTTCCTTTGATAATATATTTTTGCTTTCTGGCTTATATATTTCTTACACCATAACAATAAAGAGACTAACGAGTTTGAGGTTTTATAATTGCACAAAAACTGAACATGGGACAATATGAGGTTTATTTCTGCTTCTTTACCTCTTGTCCCCTTTATCATTTTGTCCTCTTGTCCTTACGATAGTGAAAGCCACTACAAGATTCAATGAATGAATGAAACTCTAATCCCTTATAGCCTATTTGTCCAATCCTCTTTCTTCCTACCCCATTTTGTCTTTTTCTTTGATTAGATTCAATGAGTGCAACAGGCCTGACAAGTAATTTGTTATATGCTATACTTTAGATGATTGAAGGCTGCCTACCATTTTCTACAAAGCAAGAGAAAGAAGTTGCTAAAGCATACGCTGCTAAGGAGCGTCCACCTTTTAGAGCTCCAACTAAACATTATTCACATGGACTTAAAGAGTAAGTCTCATTTTCTTTGATGTTATGATTTAGTTTTGTACTAGCTTACTGATTTCCCTTTACTTAACACTTGCAATCTTGCATTCTAATTGATAACATGAATGTAAAATTGAACTTGGCCATCAAGGTAGTTAATTCTTATAGCTGGACTTCGCTACATTGTCATGTGACAAAGAAAATGGTTATGTAAACAGATAGAAAAGGAAACTTTTAATTTTCACTTATGAGCTTCCAATTTGATGTTAATTGAATTTTATTCCAGTAAAGTGATGTCTCTATGGCTTTTTATGCCTGCATAGGTATATATACAGACACACACATAATCTCATGTTTCTTTTAGGTTGATTGAGGATTGTTGGAAGGATGCACCTGCTGAGCGTCCAACATTCAGACAGATAATAACAAGACTGGAATCCATTCACAACAGATATGGTCATAAACGGCGTTGGAAGGTATATTCATGCTTCTTTGTCTAGCATCATATCATCACCAAAAGTTCCACAATTTTTTGTACAGGATGCTTTTAGTTTGCAATTGTTTTAAGAATTCAATTTCTTCTTGATAAAGCTATGCAAATTATTACTACTACCATATGACTGCATCCTGAGAGTTGCCCAAGTTGCGCATATCATGCTATTTAAATATGCATGTCCTTTAGTTATGTGAACTACCTACTAGCATCAGTCACCGTCATGTTAGTTTAAATTGATGAGCAATCAAGAAACTATTCTAGGCCCCTTTTGCAAGCCACTATCTTTTTCCTTTATGCCAGTTGCTGTCATCGTTGAACCAGCTGTGTCTTGCTTGCGACATTTACAGGTTAGACCCTTGAAATGCTTCCTGAGAGTGGAGGCAAGCAGCCGTGGTAGTTCAACTCGTTCTACCAACAGAAGTATATAATCACCTGATGATTGGTCCTTCTAGCTTCAAAGTGTGCAGAAGTTTTTATGCTTTTCAAGTTTGATGCCTGAAAAATCGGTTTGTAATCAGGAGTATACCATTTTTCATCTGTGTTAACTTGGTTTTAGTAGTTGAATCTAACATTTTCCAGATTAACTCTCCCATTCAATTTTTGGGATGAGAATCACATTTCATGCGTCTTTAATTGCTTTGTAATTTAACTTATAATTCATAATTGGTTAAACCTCCATTTTGATCCCTCAACTATTGTACAGACCCTTGATTTAGTCCCTTAACTCAAAAAATCCCTGATTGGGTATTTACTGTTTACCATTTTGACCCCAACTTGGTCATGTTGTTAAAAATCCATCTCTCTATCCTATTAACTAATAGGATCATGATGACATGTCAAAATAGTAAATACACGCAAGAAGACAGCATGGAAAAAAAATAATGACATGGCAAAAAATACTTAAACAATTCTTTTTTTTCCTTTTTCTCCTTTTTCCTTGCATTGCCTTCTACAAACCCTAAAGATGAAACTTGCAATTGCCCCCAATGAAACCTACAATTTCATCCTATCATTTTTTTTTCTCTGTCTATCTCTCTCTTAACATTAGATCTAGACATTCTCCCTTCCAATTTTTCTCTTTTGCTGGGTTCGAAAGCTGGGTTCAAAGGAACCCAATAGCCGTTGGGTTCAATTTTGAACCTAGCAATTGCTTCTTCTTCCTCTTCCTTTCCTTTCAGCTTCTACAAACCTAGACACTTTCTAACATAAAAACCAAGCATAACACAAAAATAAACCGAAAATCTCTCCAAAAAAGTCACTACCCTCTCAGCCTTCCAAAAAACCCAAAAAAAAATAAGGTATCTTCTCCCAAATTTCTACAAAAACTTTGATTCTTGTGGGAGGAAGAAGGGAGAGACATGAAAGAAAAGCTTTAGATGGAGGAGAGGAGATGAGGAAAGAGAAGATGAGAAGATGAAAAAAGGAGAAGAAGGAACTCAACACCTGTTAGGTTCTTCAATTGAACCCAACAAGCGTCAATTGAACCCAACAATAGTTCATCAATCGAATCCAATAGAAGTTCTTCAATTGAACCTAGCAATAGTTCATAAATCAAACCTAGCAACTCCTGTTGGGTTCATCAATCAAACCCAGCAACTCCTGTTGGGTTCATCGATCGAATCCAGCAGCACCTGTTGGGTTTGATCGCTACTGGGTTCTTCGATCAAACCCAGAACCCCCAAGGCCAATGAACAAGGATTTGGGGGAAGAAGATGAACAACATAAGATGCCAGAGATGAAAATGAAAGGGTAATGAAAGGAAAATGGAAAGAAATTGATGTGTGGTTGAAGATGAGTGTAAAAAAGTAATTTTAGTTTTATAATTAATTTTAGATATTTTAATTTGTACTGAAAATTATGTGTCAAGTTTTATATGCCATGCTGTCAATCCTACATGTCAAAATATTTTTACATGTCATCCTTTTTACATTAACTAACAGGACACGTAGGCAGATTTTGAGGGACCAAGTTGGGATTAAAATGATAAACAGTATAAGACCAAATCAAAGATTTTTTGAATTAAGGGACTAAATTAGGGTCTGTATAATAGTTGAGGGACCAAAATAGAGGTTTAACCTTCATAATTTTACAAATTCTACTGATCCTTTTGAATAATGCGGTATTTATATATCATAGCGACCCATACAGACATCGACGCTACACAAGATTAGAAAGCTTTATCCCACTTGTAAGCACAAGCCAGAAAATGGGGGAAAATCGGTGTGTTATGGAGTACTCTCCTGAGGTATGTTGATGACCAGTTTTTTAAAGCTTGGCATTACAGGTTCTTGATTAGGAACTGCTATAAATGAACTTTGGTCCACAACTTGATTAATGTAGGACCCCTTCCTGCCTCTTCTCGTACACTTCAATTATTGCCCGCCTTTTTCAATTGCAACTTCATTCTAACTTGTAACATTGCAAAAATTATTAATAGTATAAATAATTTATTGGTAATTTTTTTAAATGAAAGTAAGAGCTTTTAAATTTGATTCCATAGCATGTGGGTATAGAGAATTAATAACAAGAGAATTATTTTTTATTATGCAACTAAAAAGAAAAAAAAATGAAGAAAATAATACAAAGACATAAAAAAGGGTAATATTCATCGGCTACGACTAAATAAAGTTAAGTTCCTAGTTTCATGGGAACTATTGCGTCCATAGACAAGTTAAAAAGTGAATTAATTTCTGTGTTTAGAGAGTTCAAAATATGCGACGACCACAAAAGAAAAAAAAATGAAGAGTTCAAAAGATGCAAACCAATGTTTCTGCCATGTTATTTAGCCCCATATGATGCGGCAATATATGCAATGGAAAATCAACGGGAACCATGCATTTTCCTCCATTAACAGCAAAGACTGTGGACATTGAATTTGTACCCAGAATTGAATATATCATTCTCAACAACAATTTTCTGCCAGAGATCATACTTGAATTTATGCTCAGAAGTTTATTAGATTATTCTTAGTTTTTCCTTTAAAAACATTACATTTTATGCTCTTTTAGCAATGTTTTAGTTTCCTAATTATATATAACTTCTCAAAATCAAAAGGAAGACAAAATAGCCACAACAAATGTCTTTTTTTTGGGCTGTCAGCAGCAACCAATGTCTAGAAATGGGGAAAGAAAAAAGGCAAACCATAAAAGTTATTTGATAGTATTTATCCTTTTTTATAATATATCTACTCTACAAGAAATTGTAAAACATTTTTAGAACAAAAAAAAGGAATTTCTTGTTTTTAAATACATTAGTATTTTTTTGAGTGGAAGTTAATTAGGAGTCCTTACATTCAAGAGAAATTAATGGTGTACAATCCAGTTGAAATAACTTGTTTCCCATTTTTTGCTAAACATATTAGAGCGATCTTGTTTTGAATTCAAATGGTCTACACTATTTTGTGAAACAACCAAACAGGACCTAACAATAAGGGCCAACAAATTTCATTACATCTGCTTAAAAGTCATATCAACTTAGTTCTGCATTTCTCTGATATTGACTAATTTAACTTATAGTCTGGTCAATAAATTATTATTATCATTATTTAAGTTTAATGTTTTGTAATTCAAATTGTAAATATTTATAGTTTAAACTATAAAATATTAATCATTAAATGGAAGAGTTCTCAGCCATTATTAGTGGCCCTCATCATCCTATGATTTATGTACAAAAAATGATACATACATTTTCTAAAGTTATACACTCTATTACACACTGACAGTTTTCGTTAATATGCTGTTAAAATTAATGATTTTTGTTATTTGTGCCGTTAAAACTAACGGTTTTCATTATTTTTGCCTTTAAAATTAACGGTTTCTGTCAATTTTAGCGACATACTAACAGAAACCATCAATGTATAATGAAGTATATAATTTTTGGATAGTATATGTATCAATGTTCTTTATGTACACTTTATTATTATTATTATTATACTTTTTACCCTTTTTGGTTAGGAAATTTTATTCCATTAAAGGACGGTGTAAATGTTAAGTGGTATGTGGTAAGTTTTTTTTTTTTTTAAACAGCAAAACGGCAATTTATTAATAATAATAACGAGTCAGAGTACCACTGATACTCCGAATGGTTACAAAATGGTTACCAGGTGAGCTGCTGCACACATTCACGTGGAGCCAAGGCCCAGTCAGAAAAGGTAAAGAAACAGTTCTTTGCTCTAGCCTTAATCCAAAAAAATGATCTTAGTTGAGTGAGATCAAAGAGCTTCCCTGGGTCGGTTGGCTTACCATTGAAGATCATTTCATTCCTTGCTAACCACAATGTGGTATGTGGTAAGGTGATGTTTCACATCAAGAATATATCTCACTTTTTTTTTTTTTTTGGAAAACAAAAGGAATTTTATTGATTGAGTGAAGAACACATGTTACTTAATGTGTTTGATACTTCAGTTTAATTTTTAATCTGTCCACCACAAAGAATCTAATTCTAGAGTGAATTTACAGATATAATAAAGTTTTATTTCTTGCAAAATTAGGTGTAGTACTTTGTGTAATAACATAGTTATTTAAACTTTTAGTTTGATTAATCTTACTTTTATCTATAAATTCCAATATCTATAAATTCTAAATAAATCTCTATTTATAAAGTGTATAAACGTGACCCCATAAAATTATTTATTACACGGATGTCTGATTCAAGTTGACATCAAATGTGGTCCTCAAAAGTAGATATGGCGACAGTTTTCTTGTTATGAATCATATAGAGATTTTGACATGTAATGGTGTACTAAATTACCACACTGTTTTCTATTTTAGAAAAGAAGACATAGACTCCTCACCACGAGTAGAAAGTGCCCCTACTAAAGTGAATATCTTGAGGAAGTTTTTCGCGTATCAAACAAGGAAGAAAACATGAAATTTTTGACCAAGTTAATAGAAGTTTTAGTTTTTGAAATTTAAAGTTAGAGATTTAAATTTTTATAAAGTTAAATCCCAATGTACAATAAAAAAAAAAAAGACATGAAAAATGTCTCAATCATCATTGTCCCTCATAATATCAGCGAAAAAAGTTTAGAAAAGACACTGTTTATGTACTTTAAGACTCGAACATTAAGTTTTTTATGCATATAATTAAAATGTTTCATGTATATATGTTAAGATCATCCTAGTAAGTTTGTTTGCTCTCCTATAGGAATTGTTTATATAATCCTTGATAATTAATTATTCTTTGTACTTATTTTCTCGTATATATTATTGACAAAATCATTATCTATTTTGTTATGCCTATAAGGCAGAATTCATTTAGATTTTTATGTAATCTTTTTTTATTATTAATGAGTATCTCTTGAATTTTTATCAAAAAAAGATTGATAGGTGCAATGTGATGGGTCCCTAATGTTAGTGTTTTTTAAAATAAATGAAGAGTCTTTATTGAATGAAAAATTACAATTTTTTAAATAAATATATTTTTTTGTAAAGTCGTGACTCTTTCGTAAAAATAAACATATTTAAAAAAGTATTTATTGCATAGTCACATCTTTTCAAAGGCAACCCTTCATCTTCTATTCTCATTTGGTTATCTGCACATATCCAAGTTTTCTCCATGCATTCAAGTTCCCCACTATGTTCTTAAACCAAAGTCACACTTGTATAAAGTTAATTTTCTGCAGAAAACTCTATTTAAGTAAGAGATAATTGTACTTTTCTAGTGAGTACTCAGTGGTTTGATTATGTTAGTGCAAGACATCATCAAAAAATTGGGCCTAATTGCATCCTAAGGCAGTTCACCATTTACCCTTTTGGAAACCAAATACTTTAATTTCTGGAGCAAATTAAATTATAAAGCCTAAGAAAAGTGGCATTGTGCATACCATAAAGTTATTCTGCTTATACTTCTTTTAATTTTACCCACCGGATCAGACACCTGATTTGGATTAGTCCGGGGACTAACTAATCCCTTAACATGCTTGGATACTAGATTAGCATGGCATCATTCAACTCCGTGTTTCTCAAAACATTTATGGATGGCTATATTCAATCAGTGGGAATAGGGTTCAAAGATAGGGCAGATGAAAGTAACATGAATCATGTCCTCTAAATATGTACGATGTTAAGGGCAAATTCAGTGACAACTCGTCCACATAAATATATGGGCTTGACTTGATCGAAACATGCACCACAAAATAAACAGCTAGATGCCTTAATTCCCCATAGCAATCCAATCAAATGATAAAACATTAGCGACCCAAGTGAAATGTTGGAACAACAATGAGTAACTACATGTGCGCCACATGAACGATTACAGAGGAGAGGTTGCCCGAAAAAATATACAGGGTAGGAGAAAAATAAATAAATAAATTCCACACACATATATATAGTTGATTTTTAATTAAATATAAGGAGGAAGATTTACATGAAGATGAGTGTTTTTTGGATTTATCAGAACTCAAAACATTTATACTTGGAATAATAATGCCTGGGAAATTAAATTGAGAGAAACAGCCATGGAGAGATATGAAGCAATCAAATCACAACCCTTTAACATTGTTTTAGAAACACCCCAATTATCGCAGTCTAAAGTGCCAGTAGCTTTAACGGGGACTTATAAGAACAACAGTCAAAGAGCGAAACCCCCGTTGATTTAATTAGGAAATGTTCTAGTTTTAGAGTTTTGGAAAATGAATCACACTATATTATTTTTTGCCATTAAATCTTAAAATATTAATTAGGTGAAAGTAATTATAATTGATTTTTTTTTCATTTAATATGATTTGTAATTTTCTTTTTTTTCTTTGATTACATAATAAAAAGCAATTGCGTACGCGATATTAACAAAATATGAAAGGGGACCGGTTGAAACAAAATTCTTTAAGAGGGTATGGAACCCTGTTCTCCCAAGTAAAATTGCTGCGTTTAATTGGAAAGTAATAATGGATAGAATTCCAACCAAACTGAATTTGTTCAAGAGAGGAGTCATCAAGGACACGGGAGATGGGAAATGTACATTGTGCAAGGTTGAGGACGAAGACATTAATCACTTGTTTTTGAATTGCAATGTAGCTAAGTGGTTATGGATGGCTTGTGCTAATTGGTGGGGGATTACCATCAAGTTAGACAAGGACTATAGGAAAACCTTTGAAAATTTCGAGACATGGACTAAACATCTAAGCATCAGAGAAGGATGGGACTGCATCTGGAACACAATGGTTTGGTCCGTGTGGCTTGCACGAAATCAAAAGATTTTCCGAGATTCGGAGGCAAATAGGGGTAAGATATTTGAACTTATTCAATTGAGATCTTTTGTATGGATTAAGGCAAAAAAAGCTAGGTGTTACTTCAATCTTTCAAACTGGTTGCAAGATCCAATTTCATGCCTTACTACTAACTGTGGGGGGAATTAAGTAAATTGGAGAAGAATAGGTTTGAAAGATAAGGGTAACTTGAATTGATTGGTATTTTTGCTTATTTGTAAATGGGTTTGAGTACCCCTTATACTCAGTTTTTTATTAAAAATATTATTTGGCTTTTCAAAAAAAAAAAAAATATAATAGAAAGCAATTATCTTTTATTTTTTAACTCATTCAACCCGCATACTATATAATTTCAATTTAAAATCTCTTACTTTTAATAGAAAAAAATTACTATTAAATTATTTAAACGTTAGTAGTATAACTTGTGAATTAGTATACATACATGCACTTATTTTTTCATCCACAAAATATATCTACTTGTGTATTATCATCATGGTTATTGTAAAATTTTGTAAAAAAAAAAAAAAAAAACCATTGTGTGTAATCAAATTAGTCTAGATAATTCGATTTAGTGTAAGAATAGGATTTTTATATTAAGGAATGAATAAACGACCAAAATTAATATTGGTGGAAAAGTTGGTTAGAGAAAATCAACCGGCTCGATTGGTTATTTCCTTTATTGGTTGGGTCAGTTAATTAGTCAATTGGAACAATTTGCCATCTATTTTTATGTAAAATTAAACCATTTATATCAACCAGTCCGTGACATGAGTTCTTTTTTTTTTTTATGATTTCATTAATTTTCCTAAAATTTTTATTATTTTTGTAACTTAAGCCAAACCATAAAACCATCACTTCCAAAAAGTCCCCATCTTCTCACTAATAAAAAATTAACATATATATGACCACGATAAAATCGAATAAGTAATACCCATCGTTCACGTGAAAGAAAAAACTAATGGCTAATAGTCACTAATAAAAACTAATGGCTTCCAAAAAGTAATACATTTATAGTTGATTCCCTTTTCTTTGATCAACTTTAATACATTGGCAAAAAATTCCATTTTTTGGCAGTCCGTATTCCCCATATGATTGGACTGCACTCTTGAGTTTTCGGATTGAAAATTAGACAACTCTCTTAATAATAACAATAATTTCAAAAAAGATTAAATTAACTTTGAATTAGCCAAAATTAATGTGATTTTTAAATATTAAGATATTTAGGAAAAAAAAATAACAATTTAAAAAAAAATATTTCTTTAGTCGGACTGCATATTCAAATAAAAAATTATGAAACTCTAATAGTTCTAAGTGTCAATATTTACTTTGTAATTATAAATATGCTCACCTTTGAGCACTCCCTGCGTCTTCTTCCATACCCACCTTTTTGAGCACTCCTCCTCCTTCCATTTTCTGCAGCCTTCTGCGCAGATTTGTAAAAAAAAGGAGAGAAACTCCCAAAACCTTTGATTATCAATCTCTTCCCTTTCTTCCTTTCCTCAGCAGGTTAGTCAGCAAAACACTGAAACACAATCTTTTTAATCATTTTCATTGTTTCACTTCTTTTGGGTCAATCAATCTTTTTCACTTCAACTTAACCCTGATTTTTCCTCTTCTTATACATTTCTAATCTCTTTAATCTCAATGAAAATCAAAAATTTTGCCTGATGAACAAAATAATTCATGCACAAATTTCATACCCTCTTTTTTGTTTCTGTAAATTAATACTACTCATGATCATAAAAAAACAAAAAAATTTTCTTTGTTTGGATCAGTTTGCAGCAGCCATGGAGTACCCAAATGATCAGTCCAGGGAAACCTCTCCACAGAGGAAATCTGGTAGGGGAAAGATCGAGATCAAGCGGATCGAAAACACCACAAATCGCCAAGTTACCTTCTGCAAGAGGAGGAATGGTTTGCTCAAAAAGGCCTATGAATTATCAGTTCTTTGTGATGCTGAAGTTGCCTTGATTGTCTTCTCTAGCCGTGGCCGCCTCTATGAGTATGCCAACAACAGGTATACAGAAACACACAGTTTTCTTGATCTCAATTTTTCATGTTTTTAACTTTTTTCTTTTCTTTTTCATTCAGTCCTTAATATTTTAAATTTCTTTTTCTGCAAAATGGGTTTTTCCCTTTTCTTTTCTGTATATTTGTTCTTATTTTTGCTTCTGAAATAGATCTTTTGGATTTGGGTAAAGATAGAGAATATGATCATCTTTTTCATGTGAAGTCTAGATTGAGTTCTCTCTAACTAAGATTCACTTGTCTTTCTTTCTTCTGTTTTGTCTTTTTTACCACCATAAGCTTAGGGTTTTTTTTATTTTTAATTTATTTTTTTGATATTTTTCTTAAGTTCCCAGTTTGGTGGACACATAGATCTGGTAATAGAAAGAAATAGAAGCATGATAGGTGTTTTTGCAGGCATGTGAGCTCAGCTTCTTCTCTCCTCCATTGTTGTTAAATTTTCTGTTTCCTTTCTCTTCTTTTCCTCCCCATTATTCCTCTGTTTCTCTCTCTGTGAAATCTATGGGGTTAAGGGGAAAGCTACAACAAAGCTGTCACCTTCCCATTAGCCCAAACCTTCAATCTCTTTCACACTTCCTTAATTGCACGTCAGTTGCATATCAAGAAAGCAAAAGTACTTTTTCATGAAAGAAAATTGTTTAAGAAATCAAAATCCAGATTAGGGTTTCAAAACCCAGATGGGGTTTTCTGATGCTAATATTCCTTTTTTAAGCCAGTCACAACTCAAATCAGATCACAACCAATCATCTCTAATTAGGGTTTACTCAAATTTCCCTAAAATCCCAAATTTGTACCATTTGAGTTCCTAATTCCATGGTCATCAAATCAAAAGTAACCAAATTAGGGTTCTTCTTTTACTTGGTATTTGGTAACCCTTAAATCAAGTAAAGCGATACTTTCCACCCAATCACTTCTCACCAAAATTTCACATGGGTTCTCTTCATTTTTACCAACGTATATATATATATATATATCTAGAGTTTTGGTGATCAAGATTAAGTTCATTTTTTGCAGAATCTTTGGTCAAGTCAGTGAATGATCTTTATGGTTTCTTGACTACTGACACAAGGTGTTTATGTCATGATTCCCAATCTGGGTTTCTCTTCTTTTGATCATCATCCCAAACCATAATTTCTCCCAAAAATAAAACAAAAATATACATATATATATATATCTCTGCTTCTTAGATCTCTGTTTTCTCTCTCTAAAAACTTCCATGAAAGAGAAAGATCTACCCATTAGATGTGGTCATCTGTGAAATGGGTCATCATAAAGTTCGCTAATTTACATTTCTTTCTTCGAAGTTCAAATCTTTCATTAGATATATTTGTGCAAAACAAACCAAAAACTTCACAAGAGAGAGAAAGCATTTTCCTTTAGGAGAGAGAAAGTGGCGCAGAGAGAGTGACAAGGTACGACGACTGCGAGCCAATGGGAGAGTTCTGAGGGTTTTGGCTTGTTTCGTGCAATGGAAACTCTGTCTGCTGAAACAGACGTCTCTGATGTACTCAGAGTTTCAGAACCAGACGGGCGCAGAGATTTATAGTATTTATTTATTTATTTTTGTGTTTTTAATTTCGAATTATTTAGATTAAATTCATTAAAAAAATCTATTTTTGGATTAGAAAGAGGTGGGTTTTAGCCTATGTAGGGGATTAATATCCTTCGTGCAGTGGGCTTCTGACACCTGGCACCATCAGCCAATGATGTCGCGAGAAATGTGCCAGCGTGGCAGAGACAGCCAAATCACTGCCTCGACGAAATTAAGGTATCAAATACATTGAGAAAAGTGTAGTATCTAAGTACTTTGACTTTTAAAAAAAAAATTATTTTTATTTTAGTGATTTTAAAAAACACCGCTAAATACCGCATGAGAGGTTATGGTTACATCCACATAATTAATTGTTAAGGAAAAAGAATTATAAATGTATTTGTTTTGATTGTTAAGTAATTGATAGTTGTAATTGTTAATTGATATGATGTAATATCTTGTAATTAGTGTGTTAAATTTAATATTTTTAAATAGCTTAAATAGTTATAGATCAATAAAATCAAATAAATTAAATAAATTTATAACATCCATTTTTTTAAAAAATACAAAGCAAATGATTTAATCTATGAAAAAAAAGAATTACATGAGTTTAAATCCTTATTAATAAGTAAAAAAATCTTTTACATTTAGATATTTAATTTTTAAATGTGGACGTCATTTTCTACTTATAATATCTTATATGACCTTAACAATTGCTCATGCATAACCAATGGGAGAGAGTTGGGTAATTTGACTTTTTGACTTTGTGCTTAAGTACAGTAAGGCCTAATCATAATATTTTTTTATTTAGAGAAAATAACGTTATACAGTTTAATTAATCCGATGATTAAATGTGAAGAAAAATGAGTTTTCCTAATTGAATCAAAATAACTATGTGGTTCCATTGCCCATTTTCAAAAAATAACGATATGGTTGCACTGGCAGTGTCCGAGCAACAATTGAGAGGTACAAGAAGGCTAGTGCTGATACCTCCAATGGCAGCTCGGTTTCTGAAGTTAATGCACAGGTAAAAGTAGGAGTGTGTGTGTGTATATTTATATATATTATATCATCTTCATTCTTTAAAATGACAGAACTGACTTATTCTCTTTTTCATGAATGGGCATAAATCTCAGTTCTATCAGCAAGAAGCTGCCAAATTGAGCCTGCAAATTGGGAGCTTGCAGAATACAAACAGGTAATTACAAATAATAAAGTCCTCTATTACTGATTCATTAAAAGTAAAATGGTTTTTTTTTGGCCTAATAGGCTAATATTTAGCTGGTCTGCACTAAATGACACATTTATATTAATAATAATGATAGATATATTGTTTGTTCATAAAAATTAGATATTGAGCTTTAGATCTGTAATTAAAAACACAAATAATTTTATCAACAGACCACGTAACTAATGGTAATAATGATAATAATACATATGATGGGTTTTTTCAGAAGATTCATTATCTTTGTGTTGGCATTACTATGGGAAATTTTTTTTGAAAAAAAGGTTATCCATATATTTTCCAGGAACATGCTAGGTGAATCATTGAGTTCATTGAGCATGAAGGAACTCAAAAGCTTGGAGTGTCGCTTGGAGAAAGGAATCAGCAAAATACGTTCCAAGAAGGTTCCTCTGTGATTTCTCATTCATATTTTCATCTTAATTTTTTTTTCCTTGTAAAATATATGATTTTAACAAAATCTCCCGTTTTCGTTCTT